ACCTCTATTAGTATGAAGACTTTCTGCCTGGGTACGTAAGTAAGAGTGTTCGTTACTTAATGTTTGAATCAAGACACACATCTGCATGCATTTCTAATCTGAGGAGCCTATAGCGGTTACCACAACTATCAATTAGTCAGCAATAGCTGAGACCTTCAACGCCTCTGAAGGAACAAAGGTGGAAAGACATGCAAATACTCCAGCATCTGGGTCACACAACCTGCTGGCTACAAATAATGGCACATTTCTGTGGATGTTTTCTGTTTAACTCTCAAATCTGTGTAATATTACAGGTTATAACAGATCCAGCCACATAATTAGATATGGAGCATCTATAAGCACATATGTTTCTTTGGTATCACTGGGAGTAAGATGGATTAATTTGAACTAAAAGAAAATGCCCAGTGACAAATACAAATTTATAGCATGCTCATTCCTTGCTCCACTTTAATCAACTGCCACTAGAACTGAAAAATTAACTGTTTTGTGGAATCCTGTGTCCATTTCAGTCACTTTCATAAAAGAAGCTTTAAAAGCAGCGATGAAGAAAAGGAAAGAGAAATATTTAGCTACAGAAAGGCACATAAGAGCATTAATTCTCCTCCACAGATGAAAGCATCCTGGTTAAACTCAAGCCTAAATTTTGATTAGTATTGAACAGGTCTGTTTCGGGGAGGTGCATGTGTATATTTTTTAGTTGCATACTGTAACAGCGAACATGGGACATGTCTATGTCCACTTGCATTAGATGTATTCTGTGCCAACCACCTGGAAAAAAAATGAGCTCTTTTTATCTGATTTTACAGAAGCCTAAAAAAAAAATCTTTTGAAAACCAATACATTGCCTTTCAGTGTTCAAGGACATCAAACTATTGCTCACTTGAATACACAAGGAGAAAGAAAGAGGCACAAGTCACAGTTGAACTTTCTCACTTTTAAATATGGATAATTTCAAACAGAATGGTGTACTTTGTATACGGTGTTATCTGTGATGTTTTTGGACCCCATACATGAAAAATGACATTTCTTTACCCAGCTTTTCATGTTAGAATTGAAATCTTTTCAAACAAGGCACAGAAAATACAGTATCTTGAATATTAATATCTTCCTCTAACTCTGTAACAGAGACAGTCTCACCTGGAGATACAGCCAAGGGGTGGCAGGAACTGCAAAGCAATATCACCTTATTTCCCTTTGCTATTTATTTCTTTTCTTGAGCCTATGACTCCAAAAAGCAACTTTTGCTTTCTTTCTTCCTCGATGAAAGAGCTCAACAATAATTTCCCCCGTTTTAACATGTAAGGTAATCACGGAAGCTGAGGAATCTGGAGCTAATGCTCACAGAAAAAAACCAACAATAGAGCATAAATCCCGACCTGCAGAGTGAGTCTGGGAAGCTTTCACAATGAGCAGAGGTGTTAGGAATGGGGAAAAGAATCCTTATCGAGATAGAGCAGGGGAGAGGGGGGCCCAGGAACCCCCATCCCACCCTGTCACTTAAGAGAGAACAAATTCTAACAAGGTTGAGGGGAAGAGAGGAAATGGTGCTAAATAGCGGGAGGTGACCCACCGTCCTGTTTGCTCCTTGGCTCTCGCTGAGGGGAATAACAGCCACAGCAGTGACAACGGAGTTCTAACGTGTCGGGTACAACCTCTGCCCAGAGCTCTCTACCTCCCAAAAAGGAAAAAGAAAAAAAAAAAAAAAAAAACTGAAAATATGCCTGGGACAAATACAACTGTAAGGAGCAGACGCCATCGGCAAGTCACAGACCCCATCAGCCCGGGCTGGTCTATGAAAGCCGCAGATCAAGGGTCCCATTCAAAGGCAGCAAAGAAGCAGAGACAATGGAAAATCAAAAACTGGCAGGGCTTCTGGAATAATTTAATTCCTCACTCCAGAATTTAGATGGGGATAGCAAGAAACACAAGCGAGAGCTCCTTCACACCAAGGCGCAAGCATATGCCTGCCTCTCGGCGGGTGTATTTTTAGACACAATATCTTGGGTAAGGAAGGCAGCCTGTACCCTCAGCAAGAGCATTTGCTTCCTAATGTTGGGGCAGCCTCCTTTCCACTCTGAGAGCAGCTGATGGGCAGAGGAAGCAGTCCACATTTCCCACCAAGCCAAAGGTCAGGGAGGAGGACCCCAAACCATGCCCCATTGTCTCTGTGCTCAGAGAGCATTAAACACATTTTCAAGATGTGCTCCAAAATGAGGTCATGCTGTGCATGGCAACATGTGCACTTCCTATCATTCCACATCTGAAAGTAGGACCAAGACTACATATTACACCTTGAGAAAGAAAATACAAACCCCATAGAATGAGGGGTAAAATACTACATAGGCCGTACATTACATTAATATATGAATTAATTTCTTACACTTTTCCAAATGATATTTGCAAGAGATACATGGGGTTTTATGGCAAATTTAAATGGGCTTTAAATTTGAATATTTCTCCCACTCACATCAAGCTTCAAGTATTTAAAATAATAAACGCAACAGAAAATCAGCCCAGCTCATTAAAATATGATGAACTAGAAAGCAAAGAGATAAGCTTTGTCTTTGCAGACAAATGAAAAATAATGTGGTATATTTTTGTCGGGTCTGGAGAATTTTTCTCTCACATGGAAATTAAAATTTTTTTAAAAATTCTTTAAATCTTTCATATTAAAGTCCTTATGAAATATGTATGTGGACCTATATATACATATATAAAATTCTCAAGTTAAATTAAATTTATGGGGAAAATCCTAGAAATAGTACATCAAACAATCAAAAAATAACCACCAAAAAATATCCTGCACTGCATACGAATCTCTTTCAAGTTTCCTATCTTCCTAGAATGGAGGTGGACTAAATGGTGATGCATAAGAAATGAACAAAAATAATATTGCAACACACCATAATGTAAATGAAATTGCTTAAAGAACAAAATCCCTCTCTTTCATATTTTTGGGTCAGAATTGTTTTTGTCAAAATTGGATTTTTTTTAATGCTATCTACAGTATAGGTGGTCTATAAAAGATACAGGATGGATTATTTCCAGCTCTATAAATAAGCATCCTGAGTTTTGATTTTCTTTTAAGGGTGGAAGCAGTTTTCAATTTCACATCGTAAATCTCACTAGAACTGAATAATGCTCTCACAAGGATTGACAAAGAAAGAATAATTCATGTCAGACCAAAAGGCTTCTTTCAGACAGTTTCATGCAGCTTTCTTCCAACAGATCTGGGCCAAAACGAATGTAGAATCTTGAGCTGAGCTGAACTATCCATCACATTTTCCCAGTCTTTCAATTAATGACAGTGCAATCAGATCGATAGAAGGTAATAAGAAAAGAGCTTTGCATTTTTATACCTATTAATTCGCTGAGTAACTCCAGCAATAAAACGTGACTTGAAAGGAAAAACACTCAAGGAAAATGAATTCTCTGAGCATACTGAGCAACAACTCCCTGATCCAAAAATGAACAGGGAAGAGTCTACCTTGCCACCAGCATGGTTAGGCTCTAAAGATCAGAGTGCCTTTTCAAGGCCAAGTGTAGTCTTTTGCCAGGAGATTCTCTGCAATACACTAGCCCCACCATATGTCTAACCAAATCAGTCCTTTTTTCAGAATTTTGGAACAAACATCTTTGAAATGTACACTACAGTGGAAGGAAAGCTATTGTTCTACACTTGCTGGGCCACCCTGAATTCCAAGTTTCAGATCTCGGTTTTCTGTGATGTTCTGCATATAGGAATTAGGTTTAGAAAGCTTGGAACAGGGAAAGAATGGCAAGAATGCTGCGCTCAGCCACATTCCAGGTTATTGCATTGGCTGAAGATTCTGCAAACAGTGACAGACATAACAATGCTCCATGATGTCTGTATTCTCTATCTTGATCCCCAGTGACCAAAGACTGGGGGAGCAAGGGTGAGTCCTCTGCAGAAAGGGTGAGGCACAGAAGGGCTGGCCTGTGATGGCTTCTAGTATTCATGTATCTGGATTTTAACGTCATGGAGCTTCAAAACAGCAACTCAGTCATGAGAAAGTAGAATCCCTCTATAAAACTGAGGCTACTGTATCTTCAACACACCACTGGTGTAGTAGAAAGAAGATCAGTCGTGTTGCCAGGAAAACCAGGTATTGAATCTCAATTCTGTCAAATACTACCTAGCACCTTTGCACCTCAGGTCCTTCTTAGTAAAACAGGAATACTGTTGCTTACCTCAAGGGCTAACTGTGAGGATTGAATGTACATAAAGCACGTGATACATAATATCTAACCCAGCCCCTTCCCTATCCTCAGGTTTCCACATTTAAAGCAGTAATAAAAATACAATCCTACTATGAAGATTAAATGAAGCAATGTATATAGTGCACTCTAAGTTCAGTACTACACAACTGAAGAGTATTATTAGCATTGATAGAAAATTGCAGTAATTATTTTAAAACTTGAATATGGTATTCAGCATAAAACACAAAGGGTGGATAAAGTGGACAAGGACCAAATGTGTACTTATATCTAAAATAAAATAGTAATCATGTGAATTGGCCAGCACCAACCAGCTTTCCACTGGATTCCAAGCTTAGATGTATGTGGTGGTCCCCTTTGAAGGTAAAACATATCAAGACTTAAAGTTCCATGATGAAATTACGGAAAGAAATTTAACAGTTTTTAAGAAATACCTTTGCTAAGAGAGTCACCATTGTTTTCATTGTGTTTATAATAAAAGGGGAAAAATCTAATTCATTATTCATTTAGTGTTTGTCAGTAAAATATTTGTAAAGAACAATATACGGTGTCATGTGTAGAAGGATAATTTTGTCCACAAAGAGCTTAGAGTCTAAAGAAGACAAATTTTAAATTATGAAATGGAAGTGAGAAAAACACTACTAGTCTTAAAGCAGTGTTTTATGGTAATTGGTGTTTGACATCCGCACTATTGCAAGTATTTTTTAAAGCACTCTTTTTATTACTTTGTCATGTTGATCACTAACTAATGGAATGAGACAATGAATAACAGAGCATAAAATAATTCCTACAAAATACCAAGCTTTATTGAGACATCAAATTCATTACCTACATATGATTGATAGAAAATATTGGGAGGTTTATAGTAATTAAAGCACTACTTCAAATAGGTATGCTTACCTGAAGAGGATGTCTGCTACTTACAATGTGTCAGGCAATTTATGCTGTGATAAGTGTTTCATGTCTAACAACCCTCTCAGTCTTAACTACATCCCTGTAGGGTATGTGCTATTGTTATCATCACCGTTTACAGAAGAAGAAACCAAAGCACAGAGAGGTCAAGTGACTTTCCCAAGATCACAGAGCCAACATATGATACAGCTACTATAACATGTGGGCAAGGGGCTGGGGATTTAGCTCAGCGGCAAAGCACCTGCCTGACAAGCACAAGGTCGTGAGTTTGGTTCCTGGTACTGGAGAAAAACCAAAGCCAAAAAAAAAAAAACATGGGCAAATTGATGCCTGAGCCAACACTCGTGACCTCTCATCTTTCTTTTCCTCCTTAGATATTCATCAAACTGAATTCTTTAACAAGGTAAAACCAAATGACCAAAAGCTAAGTTTAATCTGGATGAATACTGGGGAAAAATTCACAATAAATCTTACAATCAGAAACAAAACGGAGCAAAGTGAATCCAGGCATTCTCTAAGCACATTCGTTCACCAAATACTGCTGAGCAAGGCTTTGTCATATAGACTGGTTCCTTTTCCCAAAAAAGCTTGTAGGCTAGTGTAGGAAATACCAATATGGAGAGCAAAGACTCTTGGGAAAATCAGAGTTCAAACGCAGAGTACTTTTTTCCATTTAGAATAGCTTTTAGGAGAGCCGATTCATGAGATCAGAAACGGCTGGATCTAGATTTCCAGGAGAACAGATCTCAGTAGTAATTTCCATATGGTTTCATGCTAACCACAATCACTCCTTCTGATTTCTATCTATGGAAAGTGCCTGGGGATCTGTTGTGTGGTTGCTGTAGGCACTGTGTAACATGTCAGCGCACTAGGACTCTTCCAGAGGACCCTGGAGATGCATGGCTTTTATTCCTCAAACGACCTGATCTAGCCCAGGTATTACAAAAGGAAAGACCTTTCTCCTCTCTGCCTTAGTGTTTAAAGGAAATTTTAAAAGAAAATTCCATAATAATTCAAATAATGCAGGTATACATATTTTAATAATGTCTACTACTTTCCCAATTATAATAATAACATATTTACTATCAATACCTTAGAGAAAAAATACAAAGATGACAATTAAAATGATCCATAATAATAACAATTGGACATAGTCACTTGATATTTTAGCACATTTCCTTCTTGTCCTTTACACATGTGGATGTTGATCCATACACTTATGTACTTTTTACAATGTTTGGATCATAATATAGTTTCCTTTCCTACCCTCCCATGTGAACATATCCAGACCATTTTTAATATATAATTATATTAAAACACATTTTAAAGGATTGTCTTCTATATTCTATTTTCTGCATGTAAGTTTCTTAATCATTCCTCCAATACTGGACATTTAGGATGCTTCCAACCTTTGGATTATACATATAATTGTAAAAAAAAATCTTTTTCATAAATATTTGCCATTTTCTTTAGTATAGACTAGAGTTGAGACCAATGGATCAAAATATTTTCATTTTCATGCATTATTAAAGAGCCTTATAGAACGTTTCAGCAAATTTACATAACTATTTTTTTTTTTTTTTTTTTTTTTTTTTTTTCTGACATACCGTGGGTTAAAGCAGCTTTTTGTGTGTCTGTTGACCAGTGTATTTTTTTGTCTTTTTGAGACAAGGTCTCACTATGCAGCTCAGGTTGGCCTTTAGCTCACTTTGTAGCCCAGGCTGGTCTCCAACGTGTAATGATCCTCCTGCCTCAGCCTCCTGAGTGCTGGGATTACAGGTGTGCACCACCATGCCTGGCCCTAACATAACTATTGAATGGAGTTTCCACTTCTGTACACTCTCACTGACCTTGAGTTTTGCTTTATTAGTTTTAAGTTGTTTGTGTTCCTTTAAATTTTAGGAAGATTGAACTTATATTTCAAGAATTCATTGACCATTTCTTCTTTTTATTTTGCATCATGTTCATATTCTTTGCCATTTCTCTGTTGTGTAGCTGTTATTTTTCTTATTGATTTGCAAGACACACTTTTTATATATTTTTTAGGTTTTTGAGACAGGATCTGGCTAGGTCAGATCCTGGCCTTAAATTCACTTGGTAACCCATGGTGATTCACCTGGTTCAGCCTCCCAAGTGCTAGGATTAAGTCATGTGCCACCACATCCAACAATATACTCATATTTATGCATGTTAATATATGTGTTTGCATATATGTGGAGATATACACATATATACACACACACATCCATATAATCATTTATGGCCTTTCTCAAGTATCACAAATATATGTTTATACTTTTGCTTATATTTTTTAATTTACAAAGATTTCATATTCTTTCTATGCAAATCTCCTGATACTTTCCTTTGTGATACCATCAGGTGCTTTTATATTCTGAAGTTTTTTCTCTCAAAATTAAATGTTCACCAGCATTTTCTTTATGTCACTTATATGGGCAGTCTTTGTATGTAATCTACCTGAAATTCATTTGGGTTCATTTTATGACATAAGGGTATAACTGCAGAGATTTATTTTTCCTTTAGTTGGTCATTTTTCTAGTATTCATCACCACCTATCTCGATATTTTAAGTATGATTATGTTGTCTATATATTCAAGCCTGTTTAAGAGCCATATATTCCATTCAGATGCTTATATTTAAATCCTCTGTAGTAAATGAAACTGTAAAAGCATTTTTCTATTTCATCATCACTAAAACTAAGAGATGATTGTAATCAGAGAGAGAGACACACACAAATATTCCTTGCTTAAGGATGGTGCCCAGTTGTGTGGCTGATTTCAGGTATGATAAGACAGCTATAGAGACCTGCTGTGTCTCGAGATTGGCCAGGCTGGCAAAGGAGCTGAAATTGGATTCAAAGGGGCTGCGATTAAGAAAGAAGATTTCATGTTAAGCCAGCCAGGAAAGTCAGGAGTCAAAGGGGTTAATGAAATAAAAATCTGCAGGAGAGAGTCAAGGCCTAGGTACTGACAAGAGCACTTATAAATTAAAGATTGAAGAGGCCAGGCCAAGTTTGAGCTCATTTTCTCAGAACTAGACAAAAACAGAAGCCAAAGCACATTAAAGAGTGCAAAGTAGAATTGCAGGGGTGGAGGCATGGGGTGTCTGCCCACCTTCTGGCCGGCACATACACAGAGCATGGATGGAGAGAGTGGATCGAGACCAAGGGGCACAAATGTTCCTGGGCATCTTGTTTGCAGAAACTTAACTACAGTACGCATTCTTCTAACACACAGAGAGTTGAGTTGGGTAATTTACATGCCCTCATTTTTCATTGGCACAAAGATGGATTTTGATGGAAATAAACAGAGGAGAATGCTTGCCTTCGTTCACCCTCTCCCTTGCAGTGTCAGGAACCAAGTGGAAAAATGAAAACTAAAACAGTTCGCTCACCGGAAATGTGCAAGTGTGGAAAGTGTGGAAGTTTCCAATTCTAGAAAGTAGGTCAATTTGACCCACAGCATTGTTAATTAAAAAGTATATTTCCCCTACCCAAGGAAGTACGGAGGAGAAAAGCTGTGACCCAATGATAGCTGTGACCCACTTGTCAGCACTCATAGCTTTCTATCGAAATTCTGACAGGCCATTCATGTGGCCCAAAGGTAACTTACTCCACAACGCCACTACCCTGCACTGTCCATATACGACATTTCTGGGAGAATGTAAGGAATAGACCTAGTGGTTGGAAGTGTGAGCTTTAGAGTGAAACAAGCAAAGCTTGACCCTTCCAATACCAATAAGTGGCTCTGTGATCTTGAATAAGTTTCCTAACCTCTCTGAGCCTCAGTGTCTTCGCTTATTACACGAGCATAGTAATTGTATTTATCTCAACCTGTGACTGCAAGAACACAATCAGAAAATGCATATGAACTATCTAGGAGCCTGGTGCATGTGTAGGATTCAAATAAATATTAGCCTGTGATAGGAGGCAATACAGATAATGCAGGCAGCAGAATTAAACCTGCCTTCAAACATCAGCTCCACCATTTGTTCTTATTTCATCCTCTATGTCTCCATAAAATGGTCATATGAATACAATGATATTTATTGGATAAGGTTGTGAAGATTAAATAAAGTAATATGCATTCGCACTTGGTATAGTGCCTGTTTCTCAAAAGATCAGCTGCGTTATAGCTATTATCTTAGTACCTATGCAGAACGTAAAACTAAAATCTGTAGGTCGAAAGTCAGTAAGAAACTGAAAACATGAACTAATGGGGAATTTCTTTTCCTTTGGAAATGTACTATAACTAAATCTGCTTTTCTGAGTTGATTTCTCCTCCCTAATGGAAAATACACATTGCAATAAAATGGATTCCTGTGGCAATGCTGGAGGCATTCTGCATGTAATCACAGACAAGGCAGCACCTCTAACACAGCTGGATGACAGTTCCGAGGCACTGTGAGTTCACTCAGAGGGCACAAGATGTCTTTGCTCCAGACTGTGACAGCAAGCATTCTCTCTCTCCTACTGTCTTGGCGATCCTGTGTGATTTGAGACCCAGCATCCAGGAAACCTCTCAGGCTGTGATAATCTCAAGGAGACCCTAAGTGTCCTGATTCCCAGTGCTGTACATCTCTCCCCATAGGTGATTTTAAATTCTTTTATCCATCCATCATTTATTTGTGAATACCTAGGCTAGGGTGGTGCATATATGGTAAGACAAACAATTTAGGTCCTTTACTCACAAGACCTAATCTCTAGAGAGCATCAAACATTAATCAGATAATGTACAGGTAAATAAATAATTGCAAATTGTGATTTAAGTACCAGAACTGAAAAAAGAATGATGATTATGTGATCTGCATAGGAAGACCCCTCTGACGAAGGGTAATTTACAATGATATAAAGCATGATGTGTAAGAAGCAAGGTCAGTATTGAGTGTAAAATCTTCACAAACATGAGCCTGGAGGATGTTCCTCCAGAAGCTATATTGCTTTGGGTAAGTATCATGCTAGCAGTCAGTGAAAGAATCCTGACCACGTGTGGTTACCTGCTGTCCATTACAGGAGACAAAGGTGAAAGCAAATTCCAATTCCCACCACAGGGAAGCAAGGCAAAATGGGCAGTCAGTGTACTTTTGCTTGGGGCAATTCTTCTACAGCACCTAGCGTGTGTCTCATAAGAAGGGTAGCATTTTGGGAAGGACCAGCACATACGAACAGGACTCAATGTGAACAACAGAAGCTCTGGTAGTCAGGGAAGAAAGGGGGTTATGGGTGCTAAGATAGATGCGATAATCAAGAGCAGCCCCTGAGAGAGAAAATAATGGAATCTCAAATTCCTACATAAGTTATGCAGAAGTTAAGATATTTGTCCTACATCTTCTTCTTTCTACCAATGTAAACGCAGCACATTCTTCAAAAGCTAATTCAAACCTGGCCTCTTTCCATACTTCCCTACCTCCCCAAGCACATCATCCCCCAGTACCATATCACACCTCCGCTACTCTGCGCCTCGTTGCTCTGCAGTCACTCAGTGGATTACTTTCTTGCCTACTCGGTAAGAGGGTATAGTTCTCAAGGACTAGGTCTCTTCCTTTACTTTTGTATTCCCCAGTGCTTGGCTTAATATTGTACCCACTCTAGGCATTTAATGTATTAATGCCTGCTGGATATATTAATGGTTTAATGAATCCATATATCTGTAAGATTTCAATAAGATTTCAGAAAAAGCAAAGGAAGTTTCCTAAATATAACAAAATTGAGTGATCCCTGGCGAGAGCTACATAGTAGTCTTCAGGAGGCTACTGTTTACTACTGTAACTTCCTTAGACAGTAAACTGTCTTCAGTTTACTACTGAATATCGGTTCTTATTTAAACAAAGTGCACAAGGTCATATATCTGGAAATTTTCATCTGTGCAGAGTAAGTGAAGGGCACCTCTACCTAGAGAACTGTCATGCTCAGAGAGACCCTCCAAAATTTCATCTCTACTTCTGAATCTGTCTGGTTACCCTCTCAATCCAGAGGGCTCATGGTATGAACAGAAGCCAGTCCTTAGGAATAGTCCCTGCACCATCTCCTTGAAGAATACTCTGAACACACCAACCTCCTCCGCTCGGGACTAGAACTCCACTCCTCCACCATATCAAAGCATATTCTCAAGACCGCCAAAGCACAGCCACCGACCTGTTCTCGTTAATGCTGGGCTTCCATGCAACAGTGCTACATTAAACTATCTTAAAAAAAAAAAAAAGGAAGACTGGACACAGAGTGGGATATAGCTTTACTTTCTTCCTGTCTTAATGGCTGGAAGCTATGAGGTAATCTTTTCAGAAGGTTTTGAAGGGTCAAAGTGATTTCATGAGAGTTTATTACTATTCACATTTAGAAGACTCAGCTCTTTTTTTCTGCTTTGGATGAAAGTGCTCCTTTCTATATACTTCTTACAAGCTTTAATTTTAAGAAAATAGGAACATAAAACTTGCCTCTCTGAAGGCATCAATGCCCCATCAAATCTGATGTCATTGCCTTAAAAGACTGAAACAAAAGGCCAGACGCCCCCAAACCAGTCATCTCTCAGAGCCCAGCAGCAGGCAGGCTGCTGGACAGGAAGGTCTGAGCCTCGACACATAAAGCATCCATCACTCGCTGGACTTGCTCCGGCACAAAAGGCTTGGCTTTCTCCCATTAGGCAGCATGGCATGCCCTCTTACAGACCCCTCGTCACACTCTGTGACCTCCTCAGTTGGTGTGGCCTTTGTTTCCTTTTTTCATTTCAAAATGACTCAGCTGGCACCACGCTGAAGCCCAAGTTTGCCTTTTAAAAGTTGCCCTTCTGGAAAGTCTTGGCTGAGTTTTTGAGAAAGCAGGTGCCATGCTGCAAAGTTACAAGAAGGTTCTCTTTTCAGATATGTTTCTACCTGTACATGTGTATATACACGTCTGTAGATTAAATGCAGGGGAAAAGTATGCATAGCCTTTGTACAGAGCAATGGAACCGGTTTGTAATTATTTTATTCACTGGGTTTTTCTGTTCCCATTTAGGACCTTCTCCAACCTGCCCAGGCCCTCAAGCCTACCACCCCAGCTGAAATGCAGGAGAATTGATTCACTGATGAAGAAAGAAAGTATTCAGAGGCACAGATTCTGTCCACACAACAGCAATGGGCAGCATAAATCACAGGCAGCCACTGGAATGGGCAGTGAAAACCACAGTAAGCATTTCAGTCCTTTAGGCAATCACCCTGGAATAATGACCCCTAATTTATTTTAGCTGCATTGCGCTTTAGTAGAGATGTCCTTACTCTCACTCCAGAGATTTCAGAATATTTTTCTGTCATTCTTGCTTTTAAAACAGAGAATCTGGTTCATTCCCTATGTGTTGCGTTATTAATCTACCCAAACATTTCCCCCTACATAACTATCTGCTCTACCTTGAATTTTTTACCTCTTAACTCTATCTCTGCCTTAGCTTGCTTGGCTGACTCACTCGGTGATCTTAAATTTCTCTTCTTTATGTCTGGTTGCTTATGTTTTGGGGCAGACAATAGAGGTGATATAGGCCATTATTCATGAGTAGCTTCAAGGGTAACGTGAGAAATGCCTCATCTCCTGACCCCTCTTAGCATAAGAATTGGTTATAAAATTCTAAACTGAAAAGAGAAGTTCTGGGAAAGATATCAGAAAGCTTTCTGGAGTTTTCTGGAAGAAAGACCTGGGGAGAGGAACTCCTTAAAAACTAAAAACTAAAATAAAATGGTTTACTAAAAGGAGAATATTGACTATAGTTAAGAGCTCTAAATCACCACCATCCAAAACAACCTCTGGGAATGGCAACACAAATTCAAAATAACAGTGAAACATGGTAATGGCCAAGAGTTTAATGCATTCACTTCAAAACATAGTAAGCTAGGGTTCTGTCATCTGTAGCCAAGCAGACCCTTCACACTTCCCTTCCTCACCTTTATCTGAGCCTTGATATGCAAGCAGTGGTACAGCAGAAGGTACACAGTAGGGAGAAGGGCCCTAAATCACCTACTGGTTACCCAGTAGCTCTCTACACGTAAGTAACCAGTAAGAGAAGTGTGTCTCCCCAGTGAGATGCCTGGAACTGTGATTCTCTGAGGAGCTTTACTCTCTCAGTAAAGCCCCCTGGTCTCTGTAGGCACAAGCAAAACCAAGCAATTTCTCACCACCTCTTCTCCCTCAGCCATCTTTTCATAGCTGAAGCTTCAATTCCTAACAGCTCTACTATGAATATACTTTCATGGTCCATTTTCCATCTCATTTATCTGTCCAGAACACCAGACAAATACTTTCAAAAGCTGGCTGAACTCCCAGTGGCCAAGAAGACACTAAAACCCAACGTGGCTGGAAAAAAGAACATCAGTGAACATCAACATCACTGCCCTTTCCTTCCCACAAGCACTCAGCCCTACATAGCTGATGTTAAAGATGGTCAACCACTCAGTCATCCAGAAACCTGGGAATCATTCCACCTTCCTCCCTCTGAATTACTCTCTACTCCCAACAACAGATCCTGCCCAGGGAATCCAAAATGTATCGCCAATCAAGGTCAGTTTTCCAGTGAGAAACAAAAATAATCTGAGCTTAATGAGACGAATGATGATATAATAGAGTGAAAAAAGTATAAGCTTTTGAACCAAATACATATGGATAGAAATCCATAAATAACTCTATTACCTACTGATGCTTTGATAATTGAGCAAACCACTTTCTGAGTTTTGATTTCTGTGAAATGAACAAAATTTAAAATTAAAATGAAAAAAAGTCTTATTATTTAGGGAAGAAAAAATATTTGCTTTTGCTCTATTCTCAATGCATATCTTCAGTTTCTCTTGCCTAGACATTAGTAAAGTGCACACCTGGTGTTTTTGGTGGATGTGAGGATCATCCAAAAATATCAGGTATGCATTTTACAGATGAAGAATTTAAGTAATCTATGCCCATGTCTGACACTGTCTCATTTCATCTGGGTTAAGGAGAGATAAAATGACACATGCCACATATCAGAGATTTGAAACTATACAGATCTATATGAACCTAAATCCCCATGATTATAGAAAGCAATAAAGATTGTCAAAGTCTCCTTGATGCTTTGTTATTACAGTGAAAAATGAGAAATAAAAAATTTATAATCTGTCCCTCTTACACACTTGAATTAAAATTAGCTGAAGTTTACCCCCAAATCAAAGGTATATTATAAAGCCACAGACCCAGGAACTCAACATGTCCAACCTGTCTCATCTTACAAGACAGGAAAAGCAATGTCCAAAAACCTGCATGGCTAATTTGCAGAAAATCCAGGGCTCCTGAGTCAGTGTCATGTTATTTGTCAACCCCACTTGTCAAAAAGAATATAAAATTCAGAGAGAGCAGACCTGATAAATTTGAGTGTTCCATGTAGAGAGCACCTGAGCATTTCACAGAGAGCCTTACTCTCAAAACATGCTCCTTATAGATATTTTTAATTACCACATCTGTCTTTAAGGGGCACCCAGTACTACTATATCCCACAAGGCTAATGTAGGAAAATGCAAAAAAAAAATCTATTCTGAAAACTGAGCTTCATGAGAAGAATTATGATGTAACAGAGTGAAAAAAGTATAAGGTTTTGAACTAAATACATATGAATAGAAATCCATACTTTATTACTTACTGATGCTTTGATAATTGAGCAAACAACTTTCTGAGTTTTGATTTCTGTAAAATGAACAAAACTTTAAAATAAAATGAAAAAATGTCTCATTATGTGGGGAATAAAATATCTGCAAGTGTGTTCAATAAACGTTGGCTTCTGTTCTATTCATTAAGATGTATTGATATATATCAGCACTGGCCAATTTGCAAAACCACAATATAATTCTTATTTCTTCTTTTAAGGAGTGACAATGGTTCTCTGATGTAACTATACATAAATATAGACACATCAAAGACATGAAATGTGTTTCTCCTTTTCCTTACCACAAGTATCAGGTCTACATTTAGGCAACTGTATGGTGGTTAGAATATCCTTGCATTATAGATTTAATGTATGTTTAGTGATGCCAAGTTCTCCTACATGACTCTTTCAGAAGTCTAAACAGGGTGATCAAATGTGAAGAAAAATTAACATCAGCTTAATACACTTTCTATGCCAGATCTTACTGATGAATGAGTCTGGGCTCTGAAATTAGACTGACATGAGTCCAAATGTCATTCCAGTATATATTAATTAGCTGTCTGAACTTGTGCAAGTTACTTCCCTTTTGATGAGAAATTTCCTTGTCTGCAGAATGAGCAGAATAATAGAACCTATTTTGTAGACATATGGTGAGAATTAAAGAAATTAATGCATACAAAGTAGTTAGCACCAGGCCTGACACATGGTAAGTGCTTAATAAATGCAAGCTGTTGTCAATACATACTTCAGATGCATTGCCAGGAGGAAAAGGAAACATCAAAATAAGGGAAATGTAAACTTGATTCTGTTGAAAGTGTTCTGTTTTTGTCATCTTTCATTCTACTAATTTAATAGCTGGTGTGTAGCACTATATGCTTCTTTGTATGGAGAGTGCCTCAAGTTAATTTGTTCCCATATCCTTCCACATTTCTCAAATGCCATCATCTGCCTGGGAAACTCCCAAATCCAAGTCTGTCTTTCTTCTACTAAGAAGCCAGCAAAATGCATGTTAATACCACTGACCACTCACTCCACAAAACACTCCTGGAATTGCTAAAGAAAAAATGGTAACTTGTTTCTGTAAAGTCTTATCTAAAAATGATGATCTAAATAGTACTCTGTTCATTTAAAATCCCATCAATGCACTTCTCTTTTGTATCTATACATATTTGGACAATGTCTGCTTCTTCCTGTCTGAAGCAGCTGTGTGTTTGTGAAAATAGCACACAAATTGACATCAGGGGATCAGAGGCTCAAACCCTAGCTCCCTGTTCATGTTGACTATGGAGCAGGTGCTTTATTTCACTGAGCCTAATTTTCCTGATGTGAAAGTAGTATGATATAATAACATCCAGACAATGGAATGTTGTTCAACCCTAAAAAGAAACGAGCCATCAACCCATGAAAAGATATGGTAACTTAAATGCATATTTCTAAGTGAAAGAAGTCAATCTGAAAAGGCTATGTATTATATGGCTCCAACTCTATGATATTCTAGAAAAGACAAAACTACGAACAAAATATAAAATTTAGCAGTTGCCAGAAATTAGGAATAAGGAGGGATGAACAGCAGAGCACAGAAGATTTTTAGGGCAGTGAAACTATACTGTGTGATATAATAGTAGATACTGTTTAGTACACATTTGTCAAAATGCATAAAATGTACAGCACTAAGAGTGAACCCTAAAGTAAACTATGGGGTAGTGATGAGTCAATGTGTGTTCATCAGTTGTCACATGTCTGCCATTTGGGGGGAGACTGCTAATGAGAAAGGCTGTGTATGTGTATAGACATGGGATACATGGAGACTCTGCTCACTATTCCTAGCAATCTAAAAGCAATCTAAAGTCTATTTTCTAAATTTTTAAATATATACTTATTTATTATTTACTTTTGCAGTATTGGGGATAGATCCCAGGGCCTCACATATGCTTGGCCAGCGCACTAACACTGAGCTACATAGCCCCAGTTTAAGTCTTTCTCTTAAGTGGGAGTAACATCACACAGGGTTGCTATGAGAAGGATGAAAGTTGATAAAGCCTGTAAACCAGCTCACAGAGCATCTGAATACCATGCTCACAAATATCAGCTGAGGCTAACTGTCCCTTCTACCACATCTCTTCGTGCAGATTGTGCCTGAGAAGGAAGGCACCACCCATGACCAGAACATTCTAGAACACATAGAGCAGAATTCTAAGAACAATGGGTTACTATATTACAAGGATAATGATTGTTCCATGATCTCACAGGTTAGATAGTGCATATTTACTATCTTCTTAGCATTCTGCCTCAAGAAAGATGATTTTTCTATAATTGAGACAATATTTTTAAGGATTTCATTTGTCACGGGTGCACAGAAAATATCATTAAAATAAAGTAGACCCAAGGGTGAGGGCAATGAGGTACCTGTCTCAGTCACAAACTTAAGGTGAAACCAAAAATCTCAGAAATCCAGATAAACAATATTTTAATGCAATATTACAAAAAAATCAAAATTAATATGAGACCCATGATTAGCACAATATCATTTTTTATAAGGCAGGATCACCACAGAATGTTTACCTTTTAATTTAGGTTTCAGTATAGCTTGGCTCAACACTGAAATGACACCCAGACAACGGAATTAGGAGTCCACAAAGGGAAAATGTAGCAAGCTCTTACGCTGGGGTTTCCTGCATTCATGGTCCCAGATGCACAACTAGTCCTTCATTCTGAAGCCCAGTTCACTTTCACAATAATGTTCAGAACTGTTCCTTAACCTTGGCAGTGTTGCCCATCAGAGGATGTGCTTTAGATAACAACTTTAATAAAACAAACATGAATAGCCAAGAGCCACAAAGATAGCTGTCTCTAATCTCTAACTCCTGCTCTTATTCTCTTCCCATGCTTTTGTCCAATCACTTACTACTCCTGGTCCTTTTATCATACCAAGACAACATGCTGGGTCTCATATAGCTTAGATCTCTGGCTTGAGCAAGGCTTCCATTGTTCACTCAAGTACAAGCCCTGAAAGGGAAGGAATGGCTGAAGGTCATGGTTCAGTTATTCACTTCCTAAAGCACAATGAAAAGAGAGAAGAACAGGGAATAATTAGGAATAAGTGTAGGTGTACTGAGGAGATTGGGGTAAGAAATTATTGAAGGGAAAGTATCGATCTCTGTGATCTCCAGTTCCTTGAGGATAACTGGTCTCATTTGTCAACAGTGCAACTCTACAAGGACGCCTTGCTAGCCTGCTCTCCTTCCCATGAAGATTACTTATCAGTCACACAATAAATATTTTCTGAACACTAGTGCTATGTGCAAAACATGATCCTTCACACTCTTCAGAATACAAAGGAGAGTGCTAGTGTGCAAGTCTGACTTTCATGAGACTCGCAAACTAGTAATAGATATAAGTTAGTAAGAGCCTCTTTGCAGTAGATACCACTTTCATACAAGTATCATTTTCATGCTGATTCCTTACACCACCTTAACAAAGATTTGACAGGTATGACCATTTCTTTATCAAAGACAAAGATAAAGAAATCATTTTTGCTTATTAATAGCGATGGTAGAGTTATAGTCCTAATATTCTGTCTTCTTCAATATAGCATGGCTTGTGATAAGTTCAAGTGGTTGTAACAAATCAGCTAAGTAGTACAGGAGAAGATTAAAAACCGTAGCTTTATTTCTTTGATGGCATGGTCTAAAAAATAATCAAAAATTATCACATTAATATTATTCCCTAGTTATTGTGGACTGCTCAGGTCCACAATCTCCCAAATGAATGGATGGTGAAGGCTAAATAAAAGACACAAATGCAATGATTTTAGAGCTCCAGGAGGCTCAAAACACTCTCACAGAATTTGAGCTTTTCTGGGTGATCCATATTTATTTAGTTATCAAAACAA